TAATTTATTTTATAAAAGCAAGGAAAGAAGGAAGGAAAAGAGAAAGAAAGGGAAGTGAATGGACAATTTTAGTTCATCATTTCTATGATTTTAACATTTCTTCAGGAACAAGAAATGTAATGTTTAATAAAAGTATGGCACTAAAGATCTGAGATCTCAAGAAGGGAAAAACACCTTCTTGGCATTTAAATAATTCTATTGCAAATCATTTTAAGTATAATATTTATGGATTCAGTTAAGTAAGACTATACTTTGACTTATGCAAATTTATGTGTGGTTTCATGAGCATTTTTCTTCTTAGTAAATAGTGAAAGAAATGTTTCATGTTCTCAGTTTATAGTGAGGAGATTGGTTTAATTTTTTTTTCTAATTAGGTTAGTATATCTAGTTCCCCATTTTTCTTAAAATAAAATCCATGCATTGTTCAAAGAACCACATGTGATTCTCCACCATTTTCGCTTGGACATTATTTGATTACTGTTTCATGTTCCTACCACAATACACTCCTCTAGCCTAGAAAGCAATTCACCCAGATGATTATTTGGTTAAGTCTTTACTTCTCTTAAGTAGAGAGAGTCTTGTCTATTTGTGTCTCTACCAGCATGCTTTGTAAGGAGCTCTGGTAGTGTAGTGGTTACGAATCGGGCTGCAAACCTTAAGGTCAGCAGTTTGAAACTACCAGCTGCTCCACGGGACAAAGAGGAGGCTTTCTGCTGCTGTAAAGATTTACAGCCTTGGAAACCCTGTGCAGGGTCACTATGGATGGGAACCGACTCAATAGCACTTAACAGTAACAACAGCATGCTTTGTAACTGAGTAAAAACTTGGTTAATCCTTCCACGGCTTTTATCTAAGGTGCTAGAAAATTCTGTCTAATTCAAAATGGAGCATAGACTTAAATGCAAGTGCTAAACTTATCTAAAGAAAACCGTCCAGTAAAGGATTATTTGAGCAGGCTTGGGGTACTCAAGCCCTGTACATTCCAAACAGGAGGTCTCTGGAAGATCTTTTATAATCCTTTTAAATGTCCTGTCTGATAAGAATGTCTTTATATGTGTACCTGTGGCCTTGGACCATGCCAAGTTGTTTATGCTAACAACAAGATTTATGGTGAATGCCTGTTTATGTTTGGGACTCTAAGCTTTGCTATTTGACCTCTGAAGTAGTTGGAAACTGAGTGACTAAGGTCTGCCTCACAGATGCAAGTGTCTGACCTTCCATAAAAACCCTGAACACCAAGCTTTGGCTTAGAGTTCCTCAATGGCAATGTTTCTTTCATATGTGTTGTCATACTTCATTTTGGGAAAAATAATCATTTTCTGTGGAAATTCACTGAGTGAGGACAACTGACAGTTCTCATCGAAATTTTCTTGAACTTTGCTCTAGCGCCTTTTATCTTTGCTGATTTAATCTGTATTCTTTTCCTTAATACACCATAACCCTAAGTATAACCACGTTTGTGAGTTCTGTGAGCAAAGCATTAACCTTGATCATGGTCGTGTAAAATGGTCTCTAGTTTAATATTCTTCTTTAGTTTCCTTGAGTGTTTTTATTATTAATATAGATTTAAATATTTT